AAAAAAAAAGGAAAAAAAAGGGCGCTAGTGAGTTGCTGGTGTACAGGAAGTGTTTGGCTGCAGTGGGTGAGAAAGGCTCACCAGACCTCTTTGTGTTTGTTTTGTTATAAATACGTCTTTATTTTCATCAGTGTACTTTTTTTGTGTTTTTAAGTTTGTCCTCCCAGCAGCAGTTGCTGTGAAAAGATTACAGAACAGAGACTACCTTGTCTCATTCATGCATCTGCCCGTCTACCTCGCTGACGAAGAGATTTTAAATAAACTGGAGGGATGGGGAGTTTCCCCAATTTCAAAAATAAAGCGGCGTTTTTATCCGGGCACCAGCATTGAGGACGGGACGAGATATGTAAAGACGCGGTTCCCGAAGGAGGTGGCCTCCCTCCCTTACAGCACGAAAATAGAAACGGCAGAGGGTCCACAATACTTTCGGGTGATGCACAGCCATCAGGTGAAGACCTGTCGGCTGTGCATGAGCCCAGACCATGTGGTGAAGGATTGCCCGGAGTTCAAGTGCTTTAAATGTGAGGAGAGGGGGCACTTCGCGAGGAACTGCAACGCCGTTACGTGCCCGGATTGCAATTTGGTTTTAAATAAGTGTGGGTGTTGGATGGAGGGCGAGGAGGAGGAGGAAGAGCAACAGGTAGGTGGGCGGGTGCATGAACGAGACCACGAGCAGCGAGAGGACGAATCAAGAGTACGAGGCGAAGGACCAGAATCAAATAACAATACAGAACAACAGAAAGAGTGTAACGAACAGGATATACAAACGCATGAGCCCAGACCATGTGGTGAAGGATTGCCCGGAGTTCAAGTGCTTTAAATGTGAGGAGAGTGGGCACTTCGCGAGGAACTGCAACGCCGTGACGTGCCCGGATTGCAATTTGGTTTTAAATAAGTGTGAGTGTTGGATGGAGGGCGAGGAGGAGGAGGAAGAGCAGCAGGTAGGTGGGCGGGTGCATGAACGAGACAACGAGCAGCGAGAGGACGAAACAAGAGTACGAGGCGAAGGACCAGAATCAAATAACAATACAGAACAACAGAAAGAGTGTAACGAACAGGACATACAAACACAACAGGACGGGGGGTTTTGGACTCAGATGGTTTTGACTGGCAGCTTGCAAAGTGCTTTGGATACTGTGGAACTGGACGATCAAAGGAATAAAGAATTGAGCGATGCACAACAGGAGGGAATTTTATTTACACAGATGGATGTGACTGACAGTTTGCAAAAGGTGTTGGACACTGTGGAACTTAATGATCAGAGTAATAAGGAACAATCTGCTACAAAGGAAAGTGAACAAGGAAAAGAAAACGAGGAGACACAGGGGAAAGCATCAAAAAGAAGAAGATCTGTAAAGGTAATGCCCAATTTAGAGACTGCAAGAAAAAGAGTGCTTAAAGATGATGGTATTGAGTGTACGAATAAGTATGAGTTGTTAAAGGGTTTGGAGGAGATGGACGGAGTTTATGGGTTTTACGAAATGTTCCATTTAATGCTTGAGGGCTTTTGGACATAAGAAAATTTGAAAAAGTGAAAGAAATGTGTAAAGGAGAAGATGTGATTTTACTACAAGAAACTAACTGGAGGGAAGGGTACATGACTGAAATAAGGAAACGGTGGAGTGGAGGGATTTTATATAATAATGGTGATGGGAGGCTGGGAAGAGGAGTTGCGGTTTTAATAAAAGAAAACAGTGGTGTATCATGTAAAACAATGTATAATGACAAAGACGGGAAATGTATAGCGTTTGAAATGGAGTATGAGGGCAAAAAAGTAATTATGGTTAATGTTCATGCACCAACAGAAGAGACCGAAAAGAGAGTATTTTAATGTTACGAGATTTTTTAAAGAAACAAAGAAGTTATGATGGGAGATTTTAATACTGTTTTTAGTAAATTAGAAATTTAGGGAATAGTTGAGGGAATAGTTTTTAAAAACAAAGAAAGAAAAGAACTGAAATTAATGGAAGAAAGTAATATGATTGATGTATGGAGAGAAAGGAATGAAAAGACTAAAGAATACTCAAGGAGGCAGTTAGTGGGGAATTTTATGTGTCAGACAAGAATTGATTTTATTTTATGCACAAGAAATGTTGAAGGTATTATCGGGAAAATTAAATATGTTGAAACAAGTTTTAGTGACCATAAACCAATTTTTATTCAAATAGACTGGAGCACTGAGAAAAGATGGGTTTTAAAGAACGAAGACTATGTTTTAAGTATAAAGGGAATTATTGAAAGGGAAAAAGAAAACGAAATGTATAATGAAGACAAAAAAGTGTGGTGGGAGAATGTGAAATATTTAGTTAAAAAGTTTACAATAAAGTATTGTAGGCTAATACAGAAAAGTAAGAAAAATAAGGCAAAGTGCTTTGGATACTGTGGAACTGGACGATCAAAGGAATAAAGAATTGAGCGATGCACAACAGGAGGGAATTTTATTTACACAGATGGATGTGACTGACAGTTTGCAAAAGGTGTTGGACACTGTGGAACTTAATGATCAGAGTAATAAGGAACAATCTGCTACAAAGGAAAGTGAACAAGGAAAAGAAAATGAGGAGACACAGGGGAAAGCATCAAAAAGAAGAAGATCTGTAAAGGTAGTGCCCAATTTAGAGACTGCAAGAAAAAGAGTGCCTAAAGATGATGGTATTGAGAGTACGAATAAGTATGAGTTGTTAAAGGGTTTGGAGGAGATGGACTGAGTTTATGGGTTTTACGTATGTTTTTATATGTTTTATGCTTTTAAGAATTGTTACTTTTAATGCTAGAGGGCTTTTGGACATAAGAAAATTTGAAAAAGTGAAAGAAATGTGTAAAGGAGAAGATGTGATTTTACTACAAGAAACTAATTGGAGGGAAGGGTACATGACTGAAATAAGGAAACGGTGGAGTGGAGGGATTTTATATAATAATGGTGATGGGAGGCTGGGAAGAGGAGTTGCGGTTTTAATAAAAGAAAACAGTGGTGTATCATGTAAGACAATGTATAATGACAAAGACGGGAAATGTATAGCGTTTGAAATGGAGTATGAGGGGAAAAAGGTAATTATGGTTAATGTTCATGCACCAACAGAAGAGAACGAAAAGAAAGAGTATTTTAATGTGTTACGAGATTTTTAAAAGAAACATAAAGTTATTATGATGGGTGATTTTAATACTGTTTTTAGTAAATTAGAAATTTAGGGAATAGTTGAGGGAATAGTTTTTAAAAACAAAGAAAGAAAAGAACTGAAATTAATGGAAGAAAGTAATATGATTGATGTATGGAGAGAAAGGAATGGAAAGACTAAGGAATACTCAAGGAAGCAGTTAGTGGGAGATTTTATGCGTCAGACAAGAATTGATTTTATTTTATGCACAAGAAATGTTGAAGGTATTATCGGGAAAATTAAATATGTGGAAACAAGTTTTAGTGACCATAAACCAATTTTTATTCAAATAGACTGGAGCACTGAGAAAAGAGGACCGGGGGTATGGGTTTTAAACACTGAGGTTTTAAAGAACGAAGACTATGTTTTAAGTATAAAGGAAATTATTGAAAGGGAAAAAGAAAACGAAATGTATAATGAAGACAAAAGAATGTGGTGGGAGAATGTGAAATATTTAGTTAAAAAGTTTACAATAAAGTATTGTAGGCTAAGGAAAGAGAGCTAAGAGAAAAATTAAATAACGAATTGAAGAATGAGAATGGAAAAGATATACAAAAGATAAAAGAATTAGAGGGAATATTGAAAGAAATGGAAGAGGAAAAATATGAAGGGGCAAGATTAAGAAGCAAAGCAAAACATACAGTGGAGGGGGAGAAGTGCACTAAGTTTTTCTTTGATCTGGAAAAAGGAAGAGGAAAAGCTGGAATGATTAAAGAAATAAAAGGAGAAAATGGTGTAGTAGTAGAAACAAATGAGGAAATATTAAAAGAAATAAAATCATATTATGAGAACTTGTTTAGTGCAGAAGGGGTAAAAGAAGAAGAAAAACTGGTGTTACTGAAGCAAATACAAGCAAGAGTAGGAGAAAAGGACAAAAAAACAGTGTGATGAAGATATAAGGAAGAAGAGATAAAAACAGCAATAAGTGGATTAAACAAAAGGAAAAGTCCAGGTATAGATGGTTTGGGTAGTGAATTTTATATAGTTTTTAAAGAATTTTTAACCAGCATCATAAAAGTATATGAAGGGATTTTTAAGAAAGGAGAGATGAATCAAAGAATGGGAATGGGTTTGATGAAGTTGATTTACAAAAGAAAAGGAGATAAAGTAGACCTAAAGAATTACAGACCAATTACAATGCTCAATACTGATTTAAAGATTTTATCAAAAATTTTAGCCAACAGATTAAAAGAAATAATGCCGAGTATAATTAAAACAAACCAGGTATATGGTGTTAAAGGAAGAGATATCGCAGATACAACAATCAGCATAAAAGATATGATAAGGTATATAAATGAAAAGAACAAGAATGGTTTTTTAATTAGTTTGGATTTTGAAAAAGCATTTGACAGAGTAGAACATGATTTTTTATTTGGGGTTTAAAGAGTTTTGGAGAGAATTTTATTAAATGGATCAGAATTTTATATAAAGGGGCAGTAACGAAAATTAAATGTAATGGGTTTTTAACACATGTTTTTAAAATAACGAGATCGATAAGGCAAGGATGTCCACTATCAGCTCTTTTATATTCTTTAATTTCTGAACCATTAGGTCTGGCTATAAAACATGAAGAGGGAATAAAAGGAATAGGTGTTGAGGGAGAAGAGAATAAAATATTTCAGTACGCGGATGACTCTACAGTGATGGTAAAGGATTTGAAGAGTGTTAAAAAAAGCAATGGGAATTGTACAGATGTTTTGTAAGGGATCAGGAGCTAAAGTAAATGAAGAGAAAACGGTGTATATGAGATTTGGAGGAGCGACGGTTTTAACAGAGCATTTTACTTTTAAGGGAATGAAAGAAATAAAGATTTTAGGTGTTTTAATGGGGAGGGATGAAAAGAAAGCAGAAGAAATAATGTGGGAGGAAATCTTAGGCGGTATTGAAAGAAGACTACATTTTTGGAAACTGAGGACTTTAACTCTAAAAGGGAAGGTCTTAGTTCTTAATGTTTTAATGGTGTCTAAATTGTGGTATATTTTATATGGGTCATCTATGCCGATGTGGGTAGAAAAAAGGTTGAAAAAATGTTTTTAGATTTTTTATGGAAAGGGAAGCTGGCAAGAATCGCATACAACATGTTAATAGGAGCAGAGGGGGAAGGGGGGTTGGGACTAATGGATATTGAGCAAAGGAAGAACAGCCTAAGAGGGAAAATAATAAAAACGTACTTGGATGAAGAAAACAAAGTAGAATGGAAAAAAACAATGGTTTACAGATGGTGGGATGTAGGGATAACAAAAGTAAGGGAGTTTTTATATGAGTTTAAAGAAGGGTTTTTACCAATACAATACATTGTGGATGTCATGGAAGAGGCAAAGGAGGACTTTACCAGACAGGAATTAATAAACAAATACGATTTAATTAAGAAAGCAATACTCAAAGAATGGATAAAACCAATTGAAAATATGGAAGAAACCAAACAAGGACGTGACTTCTTTTGTAACAATTTGAAACAAACAAACCCGTTTGTTTGTTTGTTTGTTTGTTTATTTGCTGATACGTTTTTGGATATGTTTCTGCTGGGATTCGACAGATCTGGATTACTTGGATTATTTTCTGGACTACTTCCTTCACTCAATAAGATTTGGATGACTGACCTGGCCTTTTTCATGATCCTGTCACACTGATCGGCTGCGAGCCCTCTCCATATTCCTTTCCATATCCTCCTCGACATCTGATACAGTGAGTCTCCACTCTCTTTATCATTTTGTGGTGTCAATCCTCGGTATGGTTGGGTAGCCTTCCCTTCTGTGGATTGTGTGGATAGTGGATTCGATACGGTTCTGGCTAACGTAGTTAAACCGACCTTTTTATACCAGTCATTCTTTTAATCATTCCCCAAATATCTGATAATTGAGTCTCAATACCCGACGGCCTCAGTAACTTCCGGTGTGAGAACGCAGGCGCGCTTGTGCAGCCGCTTCACGCTGGTACCTGTTTGTTTGGTTATTTGCTGATATGTTTTTGGATATGTTTCTGCTGGGATTCGACAGATCTGGATTACTTTCTTCACTCAATAAGATTTGGATGACTGACCTGGCCTTTTTCGTGATCCTGTCACACTGATCGGCTGCGAGCCCTCTCCATTCCTTTCCATATCCTCCTCGACATCTGATACAGTGAGTCTCCACTCTCTTTATCATTTTGTGGTGTCAATCCTCGGTATGGTTGGGTAGCCTTCCCTTCTGTGGATTGTGTGGATAGTGGATTCGATACGGTTCTGGCTAACGTAGTTAAACCGATAAGTTGTTGTGTGGGCCCCATTGGTTTTTGGTCATGTCGACGCGTAACCATTTGCAGGTTTTGTTCTTTGGTCTTTTTGTGCTGTTTTTGGCTGACGTTAATAACGTGACTTCTCCCGAGATGGCTTTACAATTTTCTTCTGCTCAACTTAGAACTTTAAAAGGATCTCGCCGCTTGGCTTCGGACACTTATAAATGGTGAACAACTTGGAATTTTACGCCAACCCCGCTACATACACCGTTCACGGAAGAAACTTCGGACTTATCACTGCTCGTCTTCAATTAGTATTCCGGTTATCGGTACCAACACCCGTGCTTTTAGAAAAACACAACAGGAAAATTGTGTAATCAACTTTGGAAATCTGAGACCATTACGCTTTGATCATGTCCTTGGAAACTGCAATATTGCATCTTCTGATATGCGATGTGCACTATTGAACACTCGCTCTTTAACTGATAAAGCATCTGTGCTAAATGACATTATCATTGACGCAAATCTGGACATGCTACTTTTGACGGAAACCTGGCAGGTGCCCAATGACTTTTTTAATTTAAACCTCTTAACACCACCTGGGTACATCTATTTCTCTCAACCTCGTCTCCATCGTAGAGGTGGAGGGTTGGCTGTAGTTTGTCGTGAGAGTATCAAAATATCTAAGATTGAGTTCCATGAAGTTGCATCTTTTGAATATCTTGTATTGAAAATGACTAGCAAAACATCAATGGCTGTAATCTTAATTTATCGACCTCCAAAATTTCATTCAGATTTTTTCTCTGAGATTAGTGAGTTACTTACTCTTGTC